GCAATGCCTGTGGTGTGAAGGTGAGTGATGTGATTCTGCAGAGCACCTGATTTGGACATGATCCCCTGGCCTTCTTTCTGTGAGTGTGTCCCTGGAGATCAAAGTACGTGTGAGCACCCTGCAACTATCATGTCCTTGGCAAGTCCCAGGAGAGTGAAAGTCGCAGTACAGCTGTACAATAAGACAGGAAGCCCAGCAGCTGATGGTGAACTGATATGACTTTAAGGCTCAGCAGCAGGACAGCTGAAATGAATAATGGCATCATCACATTACGATTTAAGTAGAGACAAGGAGATTAGCAATCAGATCATGATTTAGTTAGCCTCATCTGTGTCAAAGGGCTTGGAAAGTTAAAAGCAGGGCAGGCAGAGCTGGTGAGCTTGGCCTGTGGAAAGGGGAAACAAGCATGATGCCCTTCAGAGGATGTGCCATGAGTTGGTCACTGGATGACTGCTCTAAGAAGGGCCATCAGCTGAGAACTGTGCCTTCACTCTAGGGAAAACCCCTAGCCTGGCAAATGCTGTACACCAGGAACAGAGTCATAGCTTAGCTCTTGCTCCCTGTTACTCTTGTTGGTCTGTTCTGTGCTGTGACTGTGCCTACTGGGGATGATGCTTTCTGGGCATAATCTTCTGGGATTGCTGCATTCGAAGGATTTGAGCTCACTGCATCTGCATAAGAAGAGGGTCCACAGAGCTTTCTCCAGCACCTCTCAGCCCTGAACAGCTGTGTGTGAGCAATCAGAACAGGGTCTTTAAAGTAAGCGTCCTAAAGTATAACAGTATTGCTTATAAAATAAAGGTAAAAATATCCCTTTGCATATTGCATGGGAATCCTGATAGCATGGGGTCTGCACTGGGAATACATACTGTGTGGAAATCTCTTGCATTTAGTCAGTACTTTGGGATCAAGGCAGTCATAACTTTCTTAAATTCATTCTGAAGTACTTGACTTTGTGTTTAGGGAGATGCTAAGTTGGTCCTGAAGTCTTGGCCATGTTAGTTCAGTTCCATTTCTGCAGGGAAAGTTGCCCCTACAGCAGAATAGAAGAGTGTATGGAGGAGCCTGAGCAGGAGGAATAGGTTTATCCCAAGTGTGTAATGCAGTATTACTCCTTTAAAAGTAAGAGGATCTGCGTCCTCCTTGCTATAAAAGGATGAGTTTAGAGAGTAGGTTTGAGTTTTATTCCTAGTAAATTCTGTGAATTATAGAAGGAAAATTCTCATGGTAGGGTTTGTGCTTATCTGTGCTGCATTTTCTTTGTTGTTTTCTTTTTATGGTTTGCTTCTTTCTCTTATTGATTGTAGCCTGGAGCAGTGTCATTGAGGGAACTTTAGACAAATAAAAGTATCAAGATGTGGGCATTTATTTTAATTTTCCCCAAGGGCTCAAATAAGCACTGGGAATATTGCCTGCTGGGAAGAGTTGTTCTCTTTCTTATTGCAAAACTATGAAAAATTCTCAGTCTATTTCATTGTCTTTCTGCTTTCTATTCTGATTTATCAGGGTGTCCCACCATCCTTAATTGACAAGGAGGCCTACTGGTTTTGAGATTTTTTTTTCCTACAAATTCATGTTCTCAGCATGATTGCTGCAGCATAAGGCATAGCAATGCTGGAAGACTGTGATAAAATTGCTCTGTAGATGGAAAGAAGTGGTGCTAAAATATATGATATGATGAAACTAGGGAGTCTCTTGCGTCATGTGCAGAGTTTTTGCCTCTGGGCTAGCAGGAAAAAGCCTTTCCTGTGATTATACAGTTCCCTCTTCAGGTGATAACTCTCTAGTGAGCTTTGGGGAGAAAGACAGGTAAACCCTTGTTCCTTTTTAAAAGCTGCCTTCACCTAAAATTTTGTCTGTAGGCCTCCCAGACACACTTTTGTGTTGTTTGCTGCATGAATGACAAATCCCAATATCCTGCTTTATGCCCAGACATGAGACAGGAGGTTCCCTGGTGGGAAGCAGCCACTCTGCTGGCTGTTGTCACCAGTATAGCTGTTTGTGTGTGATTGCTCCCTTTGCAATCAGTGGACAGATGCAGGTGGTTTCAGGACCCTATGGATCTGACTTGGCTTGCCTGTTGTTTTTTGGGGTGTAAAGGGAGCCCAGTTCAGGTGTGCCAGGTGAGACAAATCACCCATTGCCCGGACAACTCCCTAATCCTCCTGGGCTATGCTCTGTCTTAGAGGAGAGAACTTGGTGCTGGCTGTGCACATCTCTCTGCTGTTTTTGTATTTAGTTTGGGTAGGTACCCAAAGGTGCAGCTGCTCACCAGTGCTTCTCTCCTGTAGAAAGAGACCCAAGGAAATGCAGAAACCAGGGAAGGAGAGATCTGTATGTCTCCAAAGTGCTTTCTGACCCTTTGGCATCTGGAAAAGGCAATTGTTAGCTGGTGCTACAGGGCATCCTAAATAAGTCTGGAGAGCATGGATGCTCCTGCAGAAGAGGATCTGTGCAGTGAGGAGAGACAGGAACACTGCTGCTGTCAGCCTATGTTAGGGCCAGGAAGAATGTGGTGGTTTTGTGTATGGCTGAGAGCTCTCCATTCCATTTGAGTTTTACTTTGAGTTTGAGAGTCAGCCTCAAACTTCAGCAAAACCAGGTCAGGTCAGAAAAAAAAGCATGTGTAAGATAATATTTCTCCTCCAACCTGTCCCTAGGCAGGCACTGACTCAGAAAAGTCTAGCATTATGAAGAAGGCAGTTGGAAAAGCTTGAATCAGACCTGACTGTGTGTCTATGTCAGACGAGTAACAAAAGCGACCCTGGGGCTTTAGCCTGTGTTTTACTATGGTGACACTTACCCTTCTGGCGCAACAGTGTTTGCATCTGTAGCAAATATGCAGGGGGACTCAGAGGATCTTGGGTGCTGTTCTGATAAACTCTAAAAATTACATGAAGCTCCTAATGATGAGCAGATTTGCTCTCTGTTTTACTTAGTAGGCTGTTTAGTAGAAGTGGGAGAGGTTTTCATGTTCCAAAATTATTTTTGTGGTTGAAGTACAATTTGCACCCCAAAGAAGGAAAGGGCATTCTATCCTGTAGAATATCATCTATCAAAATGATCATGCTGTGTCATCTTCCCAAAAAAGGAGAAAAGGTCATGGTTGTTTTATATTCCACTCTTCTTATTCTTGAGGGGCTTTAAGACAAGATCTCCCCCCTTCCCCACCACACAGAAAGCCTTAGGCTGCAGGAGCATCTTAGTCTCTCCTGCTGGGAGCTCTTCCATTTTGTACAGAGTACTTAAATGTTAAAATTTAACCAAAGAGTAAAATTGAGGCTAAGACTCATTCAGGGACTAAAACATAGGTCTCATATCAGAGTGCCTATTAGTGCCTTTACTATTGTGGTATTAGATAAAAGGGAGGAAAGGGACAGGCTCAAGGAGGGTGATGCAGTCATCTGTGCCTGGGAATACAGCTTTTCATTTCCTCTAGCTTTGAAGTGCTTGTTAGAAAAGAAAGTTAAATCAAGCTTTTGCATTCAACAAAATAGGTAATTCATTTTGGTAAGAAGAAAGCAAAACACTTAGCTCAATCCAAGTCTCAATTTGACATATGTTGGCTTGACTGACGTTAGTTCTTAGTAGTTGGACAGTACAATCGTCCTTATTTACTGTCCCAAAGTTGAGTCTTGCTGGGAGAAAGCCTGCCTGCAGTCTACAACAGTCTTGTTGCTATGAAATCACTTTTTTTAAGGCAATATAGAAACCAGCTGGTACTGATTTATTCAGTGGTTTTTCTTGCTATGAAAACTGGCTCTCCCCCTGGCTGGAGGAGGGGTTGCAGAAGCTGAAATCCTTTGCACCTGCAGCCTGTCTGCATCCAGTGTCCCCACTTGCTGTGGGGGGGTTTGCCTGTGCAGAAGCACAGGCTGAGAGTGCCATTCTCAAATGAAAGTTGTACAGTGTGGTGCAAAATCATTAGAGATGGGAGCTCCTAATGGAAACACTTAACATACAACGTGACCGGAGTTATGTAATGACTATGGCTTATTAAACAGCCTCACTAGAGGCATGAAAGACAGAGGCTGATGAGATTTTTGGTATGCTACATTGGATTTTTTCCTGTCTATTGAGTCAGCAATAACTAGGTCTTTTTTATTTACTTTTGGTGGGTGGTCACGCAAAACTACAAACTCCTGTCACACAAGGAAGATCTCTGCCATCCAGCTAGTGTGTCTGTTCATGTGTAGCCAGCTAGCTTGCGTCCCAGAAGCAACGCCCGTGACAAATTGTAAGACTTGTGTGATTAAAACTGAATTTATTTTTGACCATTTAATTTGTGTTTGATCAGTTGGACGGCAGGGAGACAGGCGGTAATGCTGCATCTCTGTCATGTGAAGTTCAAATTGTTTCTGCTTTTTTTTGTTTTCCTCTTCAGCACAGGTATAAAATGTTACGGAGGCGATAGGGAAGCCCCTAACCAGTCCATAGCTGGCTCATGATGTACAGGCGCTGGGAAAGGACCCTACTAGAGACAAAGAGTGATTCTCATCTACCAGAGTGTATGGCACATGTTTTGGGAGGGAGGAACATGAGGTATTTTAAAACAGAGGCAGTTTAAGGTACCCATAAATGCTTCGGAGGTCATTTTTGGAGGTGTCTTGCATCTGTTCCTTTTAAGGATTTTGCTGTTCGAGTCCCACACAGTTGGACTAATGCAGCCTGATTCAGCAGTTGGTTACTTTGGTTTTACACCACTAATACCAGTGACTTAAATAGATTTTCGTTGGCATAAAACAAACTGTATGATACTAAATCAACCATACAGAAAGCAAGGTAGTTGGCTCCACAGGCAGAATAATAAACAATAAGCAAATTCTTTGCAACGCTGCTAGCAAATATTCTTCTGAACGTCTGGCATATTCAGAATACATAAGCTGTCTAAAGACTTTCATTTGGTAGGCAACTTTCAGTGAAGTGATGTTCCATAAATCTGTTTCTTTCTGCTGCACCAACTATGCATTGCATTTTACCTGCTCATCTGATCTCAGTTTTATTTGCCTGTACATCTATGTACATATAAATATTTTACAACCCCGCTTGAAAGGAATCACAGAAAGCTGTCTTATCTGCCAAGCACTTCGACATTTACTCAGGCCTTAATGGGGGCCAAGCAAATTTGGTCTCTTGCTACTTGGTGTATCTAATAATAATTATTATTTTTTTTGCAGAACCCCAGCTGAAAGGAATTGTGACAAGGTTATTCAGCCAGCAAAAAAACTTCCTGCAGATGCACCCAGATGGTACAATTGATGGGACCAAGGACGAAAACAGTGACTACAGTAAGAAAAATTAGCCTGTTTTGCAAGCCAATTACAATCAAATGCATCACCTAGTGGGTCTCGCTTGTGCAGCTTTATTTTTGAAAGGATCAAATTAAGAAGCCAGTTGGTTTTTGCACTTTTTTTCTATCTGTCCTTCCCCTTTAAATATTGCCTGTATAATTTCATATGTTTCCTTTCCGATCTTCTTCCCTCCTGCCCCGATTCTGTAACTGCCATCTGGGTGGGGTGGAGAATAAAACCCATGATTTGAATTGCTGCCAGAAGAGAAAGGAGATTATATTTATACACATGCCACGTGGGTAGAGGATATGGGGAATTCTCTCTCCAAGGAGAAGAGGAGAAAATTGTTTTCACTGTTATCCTGAAAAATTCAGCAAGCATTGGGAATTTCTAGGCTGGAGAAAACCAGCTGTTCACTAAAGTCTAGTGCTTTGAGGCTACTGTAAAGGTTGAGGGTATTGAATGACCTTTCCAAAAATCATCTTCCAAAACCCTATCCAACAAAGGACAGCACAGTGCAGCAAAGCCATGCAGGCTTAAAAGTTATGCTCATGTGCAGGAGCCATATTGGTTTAAACAAGTGCAAAGCAGCAGTCAATCTTCATTTTGCAAAAGAAATAGTTTTGTCAATGCCAAGGTCCTCAAAAGGTTAAAAAAGGTGAAGGATATTTTCTACAGCATATACATTTTATAAGTGTCAAATTGATGCTTCTGAGTGGGCAGTAATAAGCTCAGATCCTTGATAGCACAAACTGCATCAACAGAGTAGGACTCAAGTCTTGATTTGTGTCATCTTATGTTGGTTTGAAGCTTACTGTGCCACTGCTGAAGGGACATCGTATCTAGCCTGTCCAGCATGGAAGGTGTCTTCCCAGTCATTACTAGAGATGAAGAGAAGTTCATCTGCGTGGTAGGATTGACGGAAGCAAGCTTCATGTACTTTGTGAAAGGAGGAACCTACTTAATTTGGGGACAAATCTTCTAACTCAAAGAAGCTCCTAGCTGGATTGAAGGTGCTGTTCCTTCAGGAAGGAGGGCCTGGGCTGCGGGTGAGGGGTATTTGCAGTAGTGCAGCACATGTAGCAGGGCACTGACGTTGTCCCATGAAGCTGCGTTTGGACAAGGGTGCAAGGTGGCTGCAGCGCCAAGTCCATGGTGATTGCCGCATCAGGCTGGCAGAGTGCCATGGCAGGAGCATTGTGTATGGTGGGACCGCTTTGCTGCAGCCAGCTCAGGGATGGGGTCCATGCATGAGAGAGGAGTGTTGGGGAGATGGCAACTGAAATTGTGGGAGGCTGGCAAAGCCCTTGTGAAATTACCCGAGGCTGTATTCACCAGAAACTTGGCCTGTAGCAGGTGCAAGTGTCAGGTTTTAGTCCCCTTTTTCACATGCTGGTGTGAACAAATGAAATGCCACAAATTACAATGACACAGCTTCTAATTTGTTAGAGCAGGAGAATCTGTGAACCTACACACACACGCTTTTACTCAGCAAGAGACTGAGCAGGTCTCTTCCTCCAAGAAGAGTCTGGCCTTGTGTTTTTCTCAGGCAGACACCAACACATGGGATGAGTTCAGTGGGTGAGTAATGACCCAGTGTTGGGTTGTATTAGCTGCTTTTTCTTAAAGAAAGAAGATACAGGGTGTTCTCAATCTGCAGAAAATCCCATTGGAGGCCTATTTGTCAATGACATGGGAAGAGCTGCTAGAGATGTCAGGGATTCATTACTCTCATCTATCAGTGAGGACTGAACAACAAAGTAATGGGCTTAAATAGAAGCAGGGATGAATTTAGGTAAACAGCAAAGGAGAATAAAATGTAAGAGCAATTCTGCAATATTTCAGGCTGGCAGGGGAGATGAGGGAAGCTGCTGCTGGCTGCACCTTGGTGGGTGTGGAGGAACCTCCTGCGTCCCCATGACTGAGGCTGGGCCCCAGTTGCTCACACAGCTTTTGCATATCCCATTAGAAATGTTAGAGATCAGTTTGGAAAGGTGCTGAGTGCTTGAGCCACTTCCACCCAGTTGTCTTAATTGGAACTAGATGGGCTGAAGGACATGTCTAGAGTATAATTTTATCTGGTGAGATGGAAACCTTGGCAGATTGGTGGCACAGGAGGCATCTAGCTGAAGTGTGCCAAGCCACTTGCTCAAAGTCATGGGATATGTTGGAAAGTTGAGTGAAGATTTTGAGAGAAGATTGAAGCCAAAGAATTACCCATCCCCTGATCTCAGAGGATATCAAAAGAGGAAAAAATCCAACCTGGTAATATTTGGCTCCTGAAAATTAAATGAAGACTGTGCGTTATTCAGTTTTGTTTAACTTTTTACCACACGCTCTCCTTTATAAATCTTCAGTTTGAGTCAACATTTTATATTATACAAAGCTTTCAGTTATAGCTTCAAAACAAAATCACATTTTTCGCTTTGGAAGTGCCAAAATAAAGCATATTATTTTTTTTTCTGTTCCTCCAAACATCTCAATTTTTGACCAGAAAAAAATTGTCTAAGTGAACTGCTTACAGATTTACTTCACTGATATTTTCTGTTTTAAAATACTTCTCCATAAGATTCCTGACTAGCCAGCTGGAAGTCTGTGCAGTATTTTTGTGTGAGGGCAAAACTCAAAGACTAGATAAATAATACTTTCCTGTCCCTGGAGAATGATTGGTTAACTCACATCCACTGGCAGAGAAGGGCGATCTTGATGGCCACAGCAGGATCCTTCCCACCCTGGATGACCACCTGTTCTCCATGCAGAAGCTATCTTAGCACAATTAAATACATGGTGAACACCATGTTCCATACATTGCTCTGTGTTCTGTAGCCATACGCTGATTATTCAAATTAGCATTATGAAAGGAAGCTTAATTTTCATGGACTACATTAGGTTGGTTTACTCTGGCAAAATAAATGTTTAAAATGAGACACGACATGTCCCTCAGATATGTCTGATGCAATTAAAAGTTCTAATAAAAATCCAGTTATTTATATAGGAAGAACTGCTAATATTTAAGCAATTTTTAAATTAATTATCTGGTGCCCATTTTATGTGTGTTCTTGAGAGGCTGATGGCATTTATTTTCCACCTCCTCTCACTTAAAGAAAAAGAAAACCCCAGAAGCCAAGTTCTAATGGCATTTGAATGGGCATCCAGCCAGCTTCCCGCGAAATAGCACTTGGGACATCTGTTCCTTATACCATGCAGTTAAAGGAATGCCATCTTAATATAAGCAAGAAGACAGATTCTCTGCCTACTTGCATTGGATATATGAAGAATTTTCTTTTAATCGAAGTGCTGTTTCATGGTGTACAAGGTCCTTATTTGTGTTCTTAGTAATGTTATATATGAACTAGAATTTGGGGCAGTATCTTTTCCTTCTAACTCCAGTGATCTCAAATGGTCTTTCAGGACTTACTGTTGCTGTCAGTGCTTGCATCATTATTGCTCTTTCCTGAGTAATGCCCCTTCTTCATGACAGCGGCTGGACTTCTTTGTTTGCCAGCATAATCCTGTTGCGTGCCTGAAAAGCCTTAGTAAATGGACAATACATGAAGGATAGGTCAACTGTACTGACCAGGTGGAAATAGCCCAGCATATCTAGGATATTGTTTGGGTCTTTTCAGCCAGAAATATAGAGTCATAAAATCATTGGGTTGGAAAAGACCTCTAAGATCATCAAGTCCAACTGTCAATCCAACACCACCATGCCCACTAAACCATGTCCCAAAGTGCTACATCTACATGTTTCTTGAACACTTCCAGGGATGGTGACTCTACCACTTCCCTGGGCAGCCTGTTCCAGTGCTTGACCACTCTTTCAGTAAAGAAATTTTTCGTAATGTCTAATCTAAACCTCCCCTGGTGCAACTTGAGGCCATTTCCTCTTGTCCTATTGCTAGTTACTTGGGAGAAGAGACTGACCCCCACCTTACTGCAACCTCCTTTCCAGCAGTTGCAGAGAGCAGTAAGGTCTCCCCTCAGCCTCTTCTTCTCCAGACTAAACAACCCCAGCTCCCTCAGCCGCTCCTCATAAGACCTGTTCTCCAGACCCTTCACCAGGTTCATTGCCCTTCTCTGGACACGGTCCAGCACCTCAATGTCCTTCTTGCAGTGAGGGCCCCAAAACTGCACACAGTATTTGAGGTGCGGCCTCACCAGTGCCGAGCACAGGGGGACGATCACTTCCCTACTCCTGCTGGCCCCAGTATTTCTAATATAAAAAGATTAAGACTGGAGAAACCTCTGGAGGTCTCCAGGCCCACATCCTAATTGGAGCTGGGTTATCTTCAGCTGCACAGAGCCTTGCCTAGTTATTTCAAGTGTCTCCTGGAATGAGCTATTCCATAGCTTCATAACCTCTTTGGTTCCAGTGCTGCACTATTCTCATTTTAATGAATTTTCTCTATATCCAGTCATGCTTATTTCTGAGGCTTTTGTCTAATGCCTCTTGCCCTTTCATTGTGTTCCTCTGGGAAAAGCCAGTCTCTGGCTTTCCCTTCTTTGAGCTAAGCAAACCCAGTTCCCTCAGTTTCTTTTCTCATACGTGTTGCACCACAGCCTCTTGATCATCTTAGCAGCCTTCCTTATTCCCCTCAGGATCTTAAACCTCCCCATCTCATGGTGCACCAAGGCTGCTGTTACCTATTGCATCCTTCATTAGTTCTTCCTTAGTCATGTGCAGCACAAATGTATTGCTCCAGAACAAATCAACTGGTATAAATTAGTTTAGCTCCTCTGACATAGTACTGCTAAAATCAACTAAGCATATGGACGACATCTTATATGACACATCTTGCCTTATTCTTCATTTCTGTAAGTATATGTTCAGATTTAAAAACATGTTATGGAGCTGATAAACTGCCATAACATTAACAGTGAACAATGTACTGTTTAGGACTGGAGCATGCTAAAAGTAGTATCATCAATAAGCAGGGTCAGGTGTAAATACTGATGGTTGAAAATAGTAAGATGTAGTGAAGGAAAATAGGCAGAAATATTAAATGTCTTAATTTTTTTTTTCTTTTCTGCCCATGAAGTACAAGAGCACGTCTATTCCATGCAGTTGCAGATGGCATAGAAAATGTACCTTTTTGCAGTAGAGTTTTGAAAACGTATGTTAAATTTTCTGTCTTTCACATCAGCACATCCTGTGTCCAGTCCTGCTCTACTGCAACTAGTCCTCTTCCCCATCTAAATGTGTTCTTTCATGTTAACCAGATATTTTTTTTTCCTGACAAAAAATGAGACATACTGGTTTTGAGGCTGGTTGAGGGTTCCCCCGCCGCCCCCCGCACACCCCACACTCCCCCCCATTTTTACATTCTTACAATAAAGCTTATAAGCTTTTAAATCTGATCTAAACCAAGATGAAATATTCATTTGGAAGCATGATAACAAAAGGCTTCAACTTCTTTGAAAGTATTCCTAGATTTGAGTGCGGAAACAGCTCTGAGAATTTACAGAGTCTTGATTGATGCAAACCACTCTATTAAAAGAGGAAGACATTTGCTTGCTAAAACTTCTTTGGCTGCTAGTTACCTATGTGAGATGCATGTCCTCCTGCTTCCCTGCCCACTTGATCCCCTGCTCTGCAGCATGTTGCAGGAGATGCTCTGCCATGCCTCCAAGCCATGATTGCAGGTGTTGCTACCATGGTCTGCAGCAGGGTGCCAGGCAGCTTGGAAACTGGCAGTGGCCTTACTGCTGTAACACAAGAGCACAACAGGATTGCTCCTGTACTCCCTTAGCACGTATAGGTGGAAAGAGAGAAATTTGGAGACATGTGAGTGCTTCCAAGTGGAACTTCTCACCCACTAATTCTGGGTATTAACACCTTGCTGCCTAATGAATGCTTTGAATGGTCTGTCACAAGTTTTCTATGGAAGACAAATTGGCTGTAGCGAGTGAATGATGATGCCCATTTTGTTTCATTATTAGCAGTAAAATGCTCCATTTTTCAGTGGGGGGGAAATTAGGGAAGGGGAATTGCTTATAAATATAGACTTGTTAATTGCAGAGTGGTTTAGACCTTCATGGTAGTGAGAAAGTGATAGAAGTATAAGCTTGCTTTGGTTAGTGAGCTTTTCAATGCTAAACTGCACTATAATGCAGCTCTGTAATGCTGAGTAGCTACACTGGGGTGTGTTTGTCTTGTCTGGGGACAGTGTCAGAGTAGCACTGGCCTTGACTCCTGTTGTTCACAGACTAATACCTAGGCTGGACTTCATTTGCCATATGCATCTGTGGCATCCTCCCACAAAATCACAAATACAGGCAACTGTTTTTGGTAAGACTTCAGCACATGCTTTGATATTTTACTGAATATGGTGTTTAAAAGCATGAAAAGGGGCTGAAAAGTAGCTTTCTTTTCACCAGACTAGAGGTGCCTCCATTTTAGGCAGCTCACCAATGGGAGTCATCCAGTCTCCTTTGGGAACTGACTGAGAAAAAAGGGCATTCATGAGGAGCTGGCACTCATTAATCCCTTTTTGGAGACAACCCTGAAACCAGCTCAGCCAAGACACCTGTTAGATATCTTGAGCAAAGTGACTTTCTGTCTCCTGTGCTTTTTTCAGGTTTTACTTCTGAAAAGGTATCCCCCTCTGACATTTAAGCAAATCCATCAAGAGTTCAGGTCAAATGTAACCAGTTACGTTTTGCATACCCTTTGGGCTCTACTTTTTCTCTTAGAAATTGTGCAAATCCTGGGACTTTGGTTCAGACTACAAAGTCTGAACTGCAAGGAAAGAATCAAGCCACAGTTTCAGATTTTGTTTTTTCCCTCCTTTCTCTCCATGTTGGCTATAAATGTTTGGTTTTTTCTTTTGGAAAGGAATCCAAACACACTTCTGTCTCCCCCCCTGTGCAGTAATTCACAGGCTGTACATGAGGGAGTTTTTTAGGAATCATCTTGTGGTTGAGTTAAATCCATGCCTGGCACATGCACATCTAACCAGTCACATGGGGTGTTGATGTTGAGCTGGACTTGATTCCCTCCTGTCATACCAGGGTTAACACTAGCCTGGCCTGAGGAGCTATGGCATTTTGAATAGGCCATTTCAGCAAAAACTGCTTTATCCTTCAGGGCTGATGTTGAATCAGCAGATGTCCATCTCCTAGGGAAGGAGAGGCTGGGAGATGGCACAGTGAGGAGGAGGACTGTTTCTCCTACAACTGTTATGCTCCAACACGCTCCAATGTGATGTGTCAGGCATAACGCTTTGTAAACGATCTATAAAATGAATCAGCTAAAGGATGATGTCCTTAATGGTCAGCTGGAAAATGGGAATGCTTCACTGTGGCTCTGACACTCCATCTTTCCTCTGCACTTTGCCCGTTCACAGGTCTCCCCAGGCTAATTTGAACACCTCAAATGTCTTGAGAAGTTTCAAGCAGGCTTTTGCAAATAAGTGAGTGTGTTAAAAAGCCATGGGAAATGCTTCATGAATGTGGAAGGGGCAGTCTGACTTCATGACTAGGGAACCAGAAAAAATATTCTTGTTTCAGGGCAGTTGTGCGGGAAGAGACCTTGAGTGAAGTATTTCCATTGCATTTGTGCTCATGTTTCTGCCCAACCTAGTGCCCATCTTTGCATATCCTGAGGTCCCTGGGACTCTTTGCAAGCTGAAGCACAAGGGATCCTACAACATCTGGATACTCTTGTCCTATAAATCTCAGTGGAAACAAAGCCATGCTAATGCCTCAGTGCGCAGTCTATCAATGCTGACAGTCCTCTCCTGTTTGAGCCCATTCTGTTAGAAACATAGCAAAAGCCTGACAGTACATTAACGTATAGGCTCATGGGAGACGTCTTTAAATGAGATACAGGGTCTACTTGGAATCAAGCAATAAAGTAAGTAATTGGGAGGAACTGGTTGTAACGCTTTAATCAATAAGATTGCAGTAAAATTGAGTATTGAAAGATCTCATCCTCTTCCATCCTATCTAGTGCTGCTTCTGAGTGAAGAGCAGTGCTCAGGTCCTGGAGTGCAGCACTATCTCTTCCTGAGTTTCTTCATTCCCTTGACAGCAGGGATCACACAGGCAGACACACAGTCAAGTTAACTTGCATCCTTCTGGCTGCGGTCACTGTATACTCTTTCAGCATATGGCAAATGCAAGAAAGTGTGACTAGGCCTAAATCTGTTTCAGGGTGAACTAAAGTAAGTTGTGTTGTTGCATTTGCCACGGACAAAGATGTACTTGTGCAGTTACCGCAGCTCAGCTGGCCCACAGAAAGCCGTTGAGATGCACAGAATGTACGTATGAGCCCTTGGCATTGCAAAGGCAGTGACCAGACCAATGGGTGTGTTAAGGCTTCTGGGAGGCAGCCACATTCAGTACTTTCTAAAATTTCCTTTCAACATTGGCCTCATGGCTGCAGACCTTTCCTGTTGCTGGAAGCAGGACTTTAGATTCTAGTTCAGTATCTTTCGTTAAGAGTCAGGAGTGGGGTGGGCTGGCCCTGGAGCAAAAGCAGCAGTGGCCACGCAGGGTGATCTCTGTAACCTTTGCTTTTCTTTTCCTTCTGCAGCCCTTTTCAATCTAATTCCTGTGGGTCTTCGTGTGGTGGCAATCCAAGGGGTGAAGGCAGGTTTGTACGTTGCCATGAACGCTGAGGGATATCTCTACAGCTCAGTAAGTACTTTGCACTGTTTGGTTCCTGGAATGGTTTGGTTTTGTAGGCAGGAGGGAAGAGACTGCATTGGGACTTGCAGCTTTTTCTGAAAATGGTCACGTATCAGCAAACTTTTAAAAGCAGGAACAGGGGGAGCTGCTGCAAGGCCATGCAATATTCACTTTAAAGTGTCTCCACAGAGATTTGTGGCAGTATTTCCTGACCTGTGAAGATACACTTTGTGTTCCTTTGAGTGGTTACTTAATGTAGGTCACGTTGTAGAGGAGGCTGTGTGGTTGGCTGGTTATATTCTGGTTTCACATTTGTGAAATGGCATGGACTGAAAGGAGTTGCTTCTGAATTGTGCCCACATAACTGATCATAGGTGGTACCCCAATGGGTCATAGTCTGCTTTTGACTTCAGTGTAAATCCACAGCAATACCCTGACTTCACTAAAATGGATCTGGAATATTCTGTTGGCAGAGTGTTTCAGCGGAGCTGAATTTACCTGTATTTGTGTCGTCTTTTTAATGCACATAAAAGATAAGTGAGGCATTTTTTACTGAGTAATTCCCCTATAACTTTCTTAGATGGCATGAAAGGGCATGAGGTTATTCATAAGATTCTCATTTGAAGCAAGTAATTGATTTTCACAGCAAATAATTGATTCAGTGATTTATTAAATATGGCAGCCCTTTGCCAGAATTTTTTATGCTTCAAATAACTTTGCTCTAGTTCTACATAGTAAAAAGTGATAGTTAATAATACACTTCTCATTTCTGTAGTTATGATACCTTTAAAGTGTATAGCTGAGATTCTAATCTCATCTGCCTTTGTGTAAATTTACAGTGCAGCGATTCTGCTCTTGGCTAGGCATTCACTTTTGCTTTAAAAGTGTATGTGAGAATGGTGATGGTACCACTGAAAGGACAACAGTTTGAGTTGCTCCTATGCAATGTTTCCTAACCCTTACCATCCATCTTCATTCCTGGTCAGTTTTAAACAGCTCATGTGGTTGGGATTTCCCCCTTTCCCTCAGGAGGTAACAAAGCTCTGTCTCCCCAGCGGCTCAGGGTAGAAAACAGCAAGTAGATGTGTTAGTATGCCTGGCGAGATAGGTCTCAAAACTGGCTGCTTGTCAAGAAGAGACAGAGAGATCAATCTGGATCTCTGTGGATGCCAGACGCTTCCTGTTCTTTCATAGCCCAGTAAACATAAATGACTGCTTCTAAATAAATTACATCAGTTTACTAACAATGAAAACTTCCTTTTTTTGTAAAGCTATCAGAGTCCTAAAGGTAATACCAAGCATAGTGTGGTACTGCATTACCATGCATGCTTCCCTCTAGGCACATAGGGGGGTCAGGACTGGTGTTTTGCCCTCTTTTTGTGAAGTGATGGGCGTAAAGGGTCCTGGCCTGGCTCTGAGGCAACCTGTACCACCAGTGCCCTGTAAATGAGGACTGCAGGAAAGCAGTGTGTGTCAGAGAGCCACATTCAGCCTGGATGGGGTCTTTTTGGAGGAATTGAGGGGTCAGCATTTTCTGAACAAATAGTGCAAGGGAGGGAAAGATGTGGAGCTCAGGCAACAGAAGAAATGGAGAGTTGGAAACATGATGTTTGACAGCTGAGAGATTAGAGACGATGCAGAGGAAAAGTATCTCTTGCTAGTGATAGTGAGAAGATACAAACGGTGGTGGGCAGCAGGAGGACCATGTGTCCAGGAAACACATCTGCTAGTCACATGAAGTGTCCTAAAAGGCACCAGATCATACACGTACTCAGACGAGTGTGGTTTAATGGGGCCTGCTTATTCCCAGCAAGTGTGCCTGTTTTAAGGTTAATCAGGGAAGGCTAAGGATGCACTGTGATGGCCAGTGGTTAATGAGGTGGACCTCATCACATGCCACAATTTGATGGCATTCAGCTCTGTCTGAACTAGTAAGAGTTAAACCATTCATTTTATCAACATGGTCCAGGGTTTCTGCTTGCAGTAAATGAATGCTACTGGCCCATCTCTACTCCAGGGAGATGGAACTTGCTGGACATTCTTTTCTTGTATTGAGTGGTAGCTCTGTCTTTGTCTTACAGCAGTAAATCAATGAATTCACTGTGCTTTGGAGCAGACCCCAAGGCAAGAAAAAAAAAATTGGGGACAAAGCCTGTTAGGAGCATGGGGCGTGGGTCAAGCCACTCAATAGCATCAAAGACAACAGATGAGACCAGGGTTCTATAAGAGAACTGGATATGGCTGAGAAGAGCTCAGCCTTCTCAAGCAGTCTTTTGGATGGTGCAGCTTTCCTTGTGGGGCCAGGATCCCACTCCAAGCCAACATTTGGCACGGCTGTGTCAGTCTCAGTCTCGAAGACTGTGCTGGGCAATTGCTTTGGCAGGATTTCACAGTCTGTTCCTTTCTGGGGCAGGCAGGGTCTTTGGCTGTGCCGCCTGGACCTGATTGCTGCCCACGCCAAAGGACACATTGTCCCTGTTCCTATGCTTAGCAGACCCTAAACTACAGCTTTTGCTGTGTCTCAGGCCAGTTTCCTTTGGTATTGTGCATGTACCTATTTTTTTCACTAGCCTTTTCTGAGGGATTTCTGAAAAAATGGGTCAATGTTCCCCATAGATAGTGTTCACTCATGCAGATCCACTGATAAATGAACTTTTTCTGCTGCTTGGCTGCCTCTCCTGCTGTCTTTCCCAGGCCTAGCTCTGCTAGGACTTCTTATAACACCCTCAAGCCCAGGACTGTTTTCGGATAAAATGCAATGGTCCAGGCATATGTGGTTTTTTGGTTTTATTTTTTTTCTCCTCTCGAGCCCAGGATTATGGCTGTAACTGAACACATCATCACTGTGGGTTTGTTTTGGTTTTGTTTGGTGGGGGTTTTTTTGGGTGATATTTAATCTGTGTGCGTCAGCTGAGACCTTGGCTGACATCCGCTGCCCTGGATCAAACCAGAGGCTATAATCAGCCTGGCCTCAGAGATGGCTTGTGCCAGCTTCTTCTGAGTTTGGGCCAACAGGCTCTGGAATGAATGGATTTAGAATAACCAGCCCTTGGAAAAAGTCTTCATCATGCTGATCAGTACAAACGCACGGGTGAGTGGAGTCCTCTAAAGCCAGACTTGTTGAGAAGGCTCTTTGCAGAAACATGCAAGACCCTCTATGTGCGCAACCATGTTGATACCTTTAGCAGTGAGTTTCCTCATCTCTTCTGTTCAGTTAGGGATGATAGGGACAGCGTGGGGCTGAGTTGCTGGGTTGAAGCCAACCATAGATCCCTAGCCAGCTTCAGAGGCCTAAATGCGTTAGATGCCAAAGCCTCTTTGCTTGGGAAGCAGCTGTTTGTGATTTTGTGCATTGTTTACTAACACTAGATACCTGGTGTTTTTTTTTTCCAAACTAGCTTATTGCTACCTCTGAGGTCTGCTGGGGAATTGAGTGCTTAGTAGGCAATAAAATCAGGTCTTGCTCTGAGGCATCTGGCTTTGCAGACAGTAGCATGCAAGACACTGTCTTCATAGCAAGCTTGCGGAGTCATTGGTGTATTGCCATTTGATTTCTTGTAATGCAGAGCAGATGTAGATTCCCAGATGGTGCATGAAGGTTTTCATCAGCACCTGCTCTGGGGACTGACATGACTCTCCCGAGGATCCACTGTTAGCATTTTATGCTGAAGTGAAAATATACAGAATGAATGAAGGGCATGAATTACTTGTATTGTCTTAGCACTTGGGAAGCTGAGACCAAAGGCTCATTGTTGCAGGGGGGAGGGAAACGCAGAATAAAGAGGTACATCCTGCTCCAGTGAGTTTACAGCCTAATTGTAACAGGAAAAGACACAGAACATGCTCTCCTGTCTCTGTCTGGAGTTAATAGTTCCACCACCAAATTAATTCCTACTGCTGTACAGCCTTTCTCTGTGAAGTTTTTCTCCCTGGTGCCCAGCTTTCTCTCCGTTATTGCTGCTGCAACAACTCACAGGGGCATGGGGAAGGGCATGCCTGTGAATTGTTTTGCCTGAGAGGCAAACCTGCTTCTTCTGGAGCAGATGCTCATCATGGGGCTGTAGAGCTTCCACAGGCCCACCCAATCACTCGAAGTACACTGAACTTGCAGCTCTCAATATGATGATATGTATAATTCAGTGGTGTTACAGCTGGGATTGGTTTTGCCCCAAGTGCATAACACTTCTCGTCTAAAATGTACTGCTCTCAGATATTCCTTGTTGTTTAACTCGGAGTTCTAATTATTTTTGAAATGGCAAATCGTGATACATAATTTATTGGAAAGATTGAGAAAACCCTAGCAGAGATACAGAGGAAAAAAAATGGGTCGCTTACGAGAGCTCAATATGATTTTACAGTATAAACCTGTGAGTTTGAAATGCTGAAATTAGAACTTGAATCACTTCAAAGATTCCTGCTAATAAGGCAATGATTATGCACAATAAAAAAAGAATCTAAATAGCATTGAAAAAACCCAAGTCACTTTAAGATCTCAGTGTGTCTTTGCATTCTCTTTTTCTCTGCTTTTTTTTCCTCCTGCTCCATCATTTTGCATAATAAACATGTCTTGCATAATAATAAACAAGCATCTGGGGAAGTGTGTATATTAACTGTATTTCTTAATCTGCTTGCAATGCTGTAACTATTTTGCTACAACTCCTCTAGGGTTGCTGCACTCTTATTTACATCATTTCAAGGTCAGGGGCTGGAATCAATAATGCTGTATTCTTTCCCCTAATAGGCTTGGGGTGATAAACCTGCTCCTGCCAATGCCATGTCTTTAATTCCTATTTGACCTCCAGTGGTGCTAGTTGATTTTGTCAGAAGTACAG